TATTGTAAAGACGTATTTCGCTTCTCGTTACAGTCAACCAACAAGAAACGACCGTGGAGTGATGACCACAGCAAACCTCACAAGAGATGGACCACAAACGGAAACATATATAGATGCCCTATGCTTCCCCTCTTTGGTAGATGGACTTCAACAAAAATCAATTTCTTTCTGTGCTGTCAGCATTCTCTTTTCCATCACAGCACTCCTGGGGAATTCTCTTATCCTTATTGCCCTTCACAAGGAATCTTCTCTTCACCTGCCGTCGAAACTCTTGTATCGTTGTCTGGCAACGACTGATCTGTTAGTTGGCCTTGTTGGCCAACCCCTTGATGCTACTTACTGGAAGTCCTTTGCTAACGAAGGGTGGAATCTTTGTCGGTTCGCACTCAACGCTAAATTTATCATAGGCACTGTATTATGTTCAGTGTCGTTATTGTCGATGACGGCCATAAGCTTGGACAGACTTCTATCCCTGTTGTTGGGGCTGAGGTACAGACAAATTGTAACTTTAAAACGCACATATGTGATTGTCGCTATTTTTTGGGTTCTGTCCGGTGTAGCTGGCTTATGCTTCATTTTAGATTACCGCATCACCCTCTGGTATTGGTATATAATTATACCATCTTGCATAGTAATGTCTATCGCCTCGTACACAAAGATCTTCCGCACTCTCGCTCATCATCAGGCTCAAATACAAGATTCTGTTCAACAACAGCCGAGCCAAGCAAATCAACTTAACATTGCGCGATACAAAAAGGCAGTAAACAGTGCAGTGTGGGTGCAGTTGGCATTAGTTGTTTGCTATGCGCCTTATCTTTTAGTTGAAATTACGCTGGCTTATATCAAAACATATTCTTTACATCTTGTCGTCATCAGGGGAATAGCAGTTATTTTAGTTTACGTAAACTCCACATTAAATCCGTTTCTTTTCTGTTGGAAAATCTATGAGGTAAGACAAGCAGTAATACAGATAATCAGACAAGTATTTCACTGTCCATGGAGTTAGACAATTCTCCACTTTTGCCAATATATCTGCTTCTAAATAAATTTATGGAATTAAAGTTGTAAGAAGATTAGGAGAGCATCATATGTTTCTCAAGAAGAAAAGTCAGGAGATTGATAAAACTTGAATGAACTATTGTTAAAAGAATATTGTATTTAATGTCAAGTGAAAGCAAGCATAAAAAATTTAAGTTATGTATCATAATTATTTTGCCTAACTTAGAAGCAGTATTGCGATGGTTACGAACCTTGTCACCTAACCTCAAATTGGCGTTTTAAAGTTAAGGGTTTGTTACAAACCCCTTAAACAAGACAGCCATAGCCTCGACTTAATTATCATTTTTAAGGTGTTGTCCATGATAGTAACGACTTTTAAGTACTGAAGATTTCTTTTAACTCCTAAGCTATATTTCTAGAAATGTTGAGATGAAACTGATGATCCCTGTTCTCATGGCGTCCTCTTTTTAAGATCAGTCATTTGACAGAAAGTTTGCAAATTCATTAAGGAAGAAACCTATTAACAGACGCAACTGAATAGTTCTAAATGCTTGATATGAACGGCTGCCACACAACTCGTTACCAACAAACATTTTTTGTACGAATAGAAGTTTTATCGATTTGAATTCTGAGAGCAATTAACATACTTCTCTTTAAGCCCTCTGGTATTCGAGTAACTTTAATCACCTTTGTTCAACTCTCGCATTCATGCAGACAACATCTCATCTAAATTATTACCCACAAGCGAATAGCGCTTCTCGTGCTAAAAGTAAGTACTATTTATCTCCGAGCAGAAGAGACTAAATTAAGCCAAAGGAGTTTAATTATTGACCATTTTCGTTATACTGACTACGATAAACTAATTTTTTGGCTTCTGTAAAGTATACTGTAAAAAAAGTATTATCCTTACCAGTGGATATTCACCTCCACTTCGGTGATAATTGTTAAAGACAGGAAAACTTTTTCGTATCTTTTTTATTTGAGAGAAAGATAAAACTTCCAACACACTCATTAAAACTCAATCCTCAGGCTCCTAGTTAAGACGATCTAGGAGACAATGTCGATGAGAATGTTTGTCCTGGTTCACTTACGTCAATCGTCTGTCTGCATCTTTGTCCTCTGGACACCTGCTATTGTATGAAAGGATCCCAGTAACACGCCCATTCCAAAGGTAACACGTACTTAGCATAAAGGCGATATCCGCCCCAATTCATTGACCCCCTTACTGTATTATCCATAGTCCTTGAAGACTTTGTGGTCAGCTAGATGACAAAGGATATAGACGAACTAACTGACGATTGTCAATTCGATAGCTTGAAAGGATAATCTTCAACCTCTTGCTTTCTCGACCTCTATCACAATATGGAGAAGCTAGTTTGCTAGTTATGACGAAGTTGATCGATTCGGGGGTACTTTGGTCAATCGTCCCCTAGATTTGTAGCTTCCTTTCTGATTACCGTCAATCTGGGAAAATCAGCTTTCAGCCAGCGCAAGAGTCTCTCATTTTTGTCATTATGATTAACGATTTGAAGTTAACATTCAAACGCTCCAGTTACTGGGAGTATGTATTTAGACGATATGAAGATTTCGGCGATTACTCCAGCGCAAGGGTTGTCAATACTTCAAGGTCAGTTTGACGCAATTTGCACCTGGAAAAGCAACAATAACATGATGTTAAACCCCAAGAAGTACAAGGAGTTGCCTGCTTCCTTCCATCGCAACAATGAGTAACCCCTACCGAGGATGACCGTGGGCACCAATAAGCTAAGAAAAACTAAATCTCAAAAATGACTAGCTGCAGCAATCCAGAACAATTTTAAGTGGGACTTACACGTCACTGAGATAGTAACCAAGGCGTCTAACAGGTTGCACGTTTTACTAGTCCTTAAGCGCGGTGGCACTCTATCACCTGACTTGCTGCGAGAGCACTTAACACTCATAAGATCTGTGCTTGAGAGCTGTTGCCCTATATTGCATTCATCATTAACCGTTCACTTGTCTGACAAAATTGAGCGGATACAGAGGCGTGCTTTAAGTATTTTTCATCCCAAAAAAGGTTATGGCGAAGCCTTGCACCACGCCAATTGCGCGTCTTTGCACGCAGACGTGATGCGCTGTGCGTAAAAACGTTTCAAAAAAATACGGGAGTCTGATTTACGCCTGAGTCACCTCGTCCCACCGACCTAGGTGAGCACGCACGGCCGTAATCTTAACAACAGACTAACACTATTTGCGTGTAAGACTGAGTGTTTTAAAAAGAGTTTTTCCTTGCAATGTGCCTCCAGACGCACAGTTTTTTAATTTCATAAATTTTCAGTCGGCAAGTTTAAATTTAGGCATTCCCTTTTCATCACTTATTATTAACATATGAACTTGTGAAGTGTATATGTGCACATGTAACGCTTAGTCCAATTTTATTGGAACTATTCTTTAGCACTCTTATCATTTAAATTGTACATAATTTCAAAATTCACTTTTAAGTATGTTGATTTATGATAAAAATCATTATTACCATTTTTATTATTATTGTCATTGTAACTTCAAGTTTTTATGAGAAAGGGTAAATAGAAAATGAAGATTGAAAGTCAAAAGATGGTAGAGAGGTGGGTCCTTATAGATTGTGCAAGCACAATTTTTTGTATTATTTGGTTAAAATAGCATAAGTTTTGCTCTTTCTATTGGAGTAACTCCACTGCCGTAGTCAGCGAATTTCAGTTTTTTTTTTTTTGAAGGGGACATTAGCAGAGTCGTAACTTGTTTGGTCTCTAAGATTTCTTTTTATTCAAGTTCGGTTCATGGTTCTTCGATTTTCAATTTTTCAATGTCTTGGGGTAGGAAGGTTACCTCAATACTTCGTTCGTCGTCCAGAGAATTGGGCACACCGGAAGTAATGGTTGCGTCGGTCCCATTTCCCGCTTCACAGGAACAAAACGGCGTCGGAAAGAGACGTGACGCAAACATCGCATATTTTGACAAACAAAGTCACCGCTTCTTGTCTAACATTTAATGCAGTAATTAATTATGTTTTATCAGAGCAAGTATGTAACTCAGAATAAAGAAGATATCATGCCTTATTAACAATAAATGTATATGATTTGGACTTTTTGGTAAAAAGAATAAAAAAAAGTTGACACTGGCTAAAAAAATTTTATTGTTCCGGATGTTTCGGCTACTACTGTTGCTTTCTTCAGCGAAGATAAAAATGCAATTGTCTAACGGCGTCCTGCATGGTATATGTCCACGATGTGTGATAAAATTAATCTCGAAGGAAGTTTTTTAAGTGTAACAATAGTCTCTAGGGTATTTTTAATGGCTCTAAAAATTCTTCATGTTATTGTATATGTTTGCTAGCGTTATGTGTCCGTTTATTGTATTTCTGTCTTGCATGGAATGCCAAGTTTCAAGAATTAATTCAACACTCTCTAAATCTATTTGGCGACTGTGAAGCATATGGTGTTTGGCCAACAAAGAGTTTTTAAACACAATCACGATCTTTACATTCGATGTTGTTCACAATTCCTCTGGAAGCCTCTTTCTCGATCTTGTCTGTTGGCTTTTTTTAAAAGTAGGCTCGAGATGGAGCGGATAGGCTTGTAGGCGACCTTAATGTTGAAACTTCAAAGAACTTTAGTGACTCTCTCTCTCTTTTTTTGATTCTTTCTACCAAAATTTGTAATAAGCCTGGCAACACACCGAATATGATTTGGACTTGTTTTGTGTTTCTTTTTTGAAAAGCATATTTTAAGAATAAGTAGTGTAATTTTCAAAAACGAGTATAATTTGAAAAATAATGAAGCAATGCTAGTAGCATAAAATGCTACTCTTACTAAAACAACCATAAAGGCCAATGTAGAGGGCGGGTAAAATTGTTCCGATGGGCCAATATTTTAGTTTTCCCTTTTTCCTTTTCAAAAGAAAGTTTTCTCTTGTTAAATTCTAGTCCAGTTCGAAAAGAAGAAAGAAAAGGTGGAAGATTTAATAAATTACAAGGATAAATTTTAACATTTGTTTAAAATATTTAACAACGGAGTTGAAAAGTAACTGCAAAAATTAAATAAAGTGTCTTGGTTACTCGGGGTTTCCTCAGTCTTTTTACACGATATAGAATATTCCATTTTCCTATAATTATAGGTTTAGTTTATAAAAAAAAACTCCAGAAAATTCAAGTCAGACATTTTGTATAAAGTTATTTGCAATTTTAGCGTAGAATGGTTTCTCATAGGGAAAATTTGGGCATATTGAAATCTATTTTCTCTCCACAGCGAACCAAAAAGAAAAACAGCAGTATGGACGAGCTACCACCAAACTTAGTTTGGCGTGTTACTGTCGGTCAGAAACCCAAGCATTCTCTAGACAATCGATGCGTCGTTCAGCCGCCATCTTCCCACAATCTTTAGTCGACTCAGGACCTATTACCTCATGATTTGCAGTTACTAGACTCTCACTAATTGGCCGCGGCGCGTTAACGACCAGAGGAGTAACTAGGAAACCTCTCCTCTGCCGGCAAAATAGCAGCTGTTTAAAGTATTGCTGGAATCGTTCGCTTTGGAAGCCGTATATAACAGGGTTTATGGCGGAGTTAAATGTCACCATGACAACGGACGTTATGTACGGGATACCTCCGAACTCATAAGCATGGTGATAGTGACTAAGGGGGTACAGAATCAATTGAGGAAACCAGCTCACGGCGTAAATAACGCTTACAATCAAGACGATCTTTGTAACTTTTCTTCTCGACTTTCGCACTGCTATTTGCACGTTACCGTTTAGTTTCTTAAACCACAGATCGTGGACGACTCTAGCGTACAAGGATATCATTATGGTGGCTGGGATGATTCCGACAACTACGAGCCAACTTGTGGAATTCGCCTTGCCATAGCCTGGGCTTGGCCATGCTTCTAGGCAGAACATATTCTCTTTGTCGTAGTATATGGCGAAGAACAACGGAAGGTTGAAGGCAATGGTAAAAATCCAGCAAAAGATGACAATGATCTTTACTTTTGACATGGAAAATTTGGATACGGCACTGTAAGGGTTTGTAACTGCTTGATGACGTTCAAATGAGATTGCAACGAGCGAGAACACCGAGGCAACGCCTCCAATCCAGGAGAGATTCCCACCAGTAATAAACTTACATATCAAATCGCCAGTCATCCCAATAGGATGACTAAATGTATGGATAAAAACATACTGTGGGCTGATAAAGGTCACTGCCAAGATATCAGCCACTGCTAAGTTTACAAGAAGGTAATTCATAGGTGTCCGCATACTTCTGTATGAATAAACCACCAAACAGACCAAGATATTGCCAACTAGACCAACCAACACCAGGGCACAGAATAAAAAGGTCAGCACAATATCCTCAGAATTCAACATGGCTTCCTTTCTGTTGAGGAATGAAAGAGACCATTATTAAGAAAAGGACACATCAAGATTATAAACTGGAATAGACACGTAATCATCGCTGACTTATTAATTTCACATGATATCTGTTAATAAAAATCGTGTCACAAATTCGAAGGAGAGGTATGATCAGCAAGATATGTTTTGGTTTCCAATTTACGAAAAAGAACTCCGAAACTAGTTAAAGAGGCATTTTATTTAATTCGGTTGTTGTTTTTTCTTCAGAATCACATTTTAGTTTTGCATTCCTAAACCCGTGTGCAATCAACTTGATGTAGACGTTGATACCAAGATTTGAGGAGGCTGATATAGAAAAAGAATCCAGCTTATAAATTGGCGCTGCATTCCCACGGTTCACTTGCATTTTCTCAGAACGTGAATTCTAATTTGGGACTTGCACTTCAAATAAATAAATAAACCAAAACAACAATTCATGTTTTACGATAAATTTCGAGTTTCTTGAAAGAAAGGAAAAGTCAGTTTTTTCGAGAATCTTTTTGGGGTTTTCCAGCGCGTGCCCTTGCCTTGTAGACATATCAAGTCATGTTAAGACTATTAAAGTTCAAATTCTTAAGTTTCATATGGTAAAATTTACTGCGTTTGACTAAGCCGGACGGGAATAGATTTGGCTTTCGGTCATGATGTACCTTAAGACCTTAAGCCTACATTCCCTTGCGTTCTCTCTTACTAAGTCAGTAAGTTCACATTCTATGAACTTGAACAAAAAGTATTTTCTCATAAAAGTGATAAAAAAATACTTCGATAGATCTTAGTCGTAACGTTTTTTGAAGAAAATCAAAGTACTTTCGCATTCGTATCTAAACATGCTAAATATGATTAACTTTGGAGACACATTTTCCTTTGATTCCCATCCCCAAAACAAATAAGTCCTAAAGTCATACGTAACAGTGCACTAAAGAATTGGTTATGTTAAGCGTGCGTATATCCAGTGATAGGATCACTGTAAGTAAGTCATAGTAAGAGGATGCTAAAACGAACCACGAATTTCTTGCATGTGCGACACCGCGTAATAGATTAAGCATACTTGAATCGTTATTTACTAGAATTCACGGCCAGAAAATTGCGTAGGTTTGTAATGCAAATTCTGAAATTCTGTACGATTTTAAATTAAAATAACTCATTAGATAATAGTTTTAGGACATATAAACCTTAAAAAAAATGTTCACCGCTCGAAAAACGAAGCGAAAAACGAACCCTTGTTTACTAGAATTTAAGACCAAAATTTGCGAGGCTTGGCAATGAAAATTCTCAAATTTGCAGTTAAACCAAAATCCTCTATTCAACAACACCTTTGGGACATATTAGCACTTAAAAACAAAATTTACATTTCTAAAGAATTATCCCCTATATCGCAAAGCCTCACTTGAAGTCAAAAAGATGACTGTTCTTTTTCAGCCATAATTCGCATCGCGTTTGGCAATGAAGTATCATTAACTCCAAAGCTAATTTCGTCACTTAAAAGAGCTACATTCTCATTTTTTTTTCGAAATAAGTATTGTTTAGTATGTTTACTTTTCATTTTGAGCTCCAAAAGGTCTATCTCAATCCGGATGGAACTGAAAAACAGTGTTGAAAGGTTTGAAACCTCGCGGCTGAACTCGACGGGAACTTGCAGCTGAAGAAAAAACTGCAAACGTCATGTTACGGTGCACGGTGTCGCGCGAGTGTGTAAGTGCAAATACGAGCCTGCTGCCGTTTAAGTATCGGACATCAGTGAGTTTAAGAACGACGAAAAATGTGCTATGCTTATGTTCACGTCTCATGCAATCCTTAAATCAATCCTCAAATCAATCCTCACGAAGTACTGAATAAAATGTCTTAGTGTGGAGATAACTCAACAAATTTTCACTTACCTGAACAAATGGTACAAAACAGGCGGGAACTTACAAGAAAGATATCGTTTGCTGTCAGCTTTACAAGACATGCTAAACCGTCGGACTTATGATGGAGACAGTAAATTTATGCAAAACAGCTCTTATTCACACCTAATAAAATAATTGTCACTGAAAACCGTTCAACTCACCAAGTCTGATTGCTCAGGTGAAGCCGGCTGCATTTGAAGTTTCTCTTTACGTATGTACAGATCAATCACCCACAGTAATTGCTCTTCATTGTGCGTTGAGGTATTAAAAATAATTACCTGCCGCTCGCAAAAAAATTGAAATAAAGTCTTCAGGAAAATCCCTTAGATTCTACATATATTAGCCGTTATCGATCTCCTTTCTGCTTCAATCTGTTTTCCGTCTTTCAGCGAAACACGCCAATAACATATTAGTTCGTGTCGTTTGAATGGAAATTTGGACTGAGCCCACTTAGAAACATTGAACAATGTGTAACCTAGTTGTATGAGCCAATTAAGTTAAAGAATCATAACTTTGCCGCTTACTAGTAAGTCTTGCTATTGGCTAATCATAAATTACCTTATTCATGTAATGCTTCCGTTAATGTTACCTAATAAAGCTCTCCTGCTCAAAAGGATTAATTGATTATCTAAATGACAAGCCGGCCAAAAAATATATTTTATCAATTGAGAATTTCCTTTCTTTACCGGTGGTGAAATTTGTAATTTGCAATTTTAAAATGGAACCGATGAACACAAGAATATTGCAGGTACTTGAGTCGACGTTATATAATTAATATTATCTATTTGTTTTGTCAAGGTATGCTTTATATGAATTTTGCGCCGAGAACGTGAAAAAAGGTATGCTAAATGTTATTTTTTTTTAGTTGATGAGTATCGTGATGCCCATTTTGGCGTGCAAACTAAAGCAACAAATTTATTTTCCGTAACAAATGTAAGTTTATCTCTCATACCTTCATCAAATGATTGAAAATATATGTACTTTTCAAGTCGAACTCAGAAAATTGCACCGGCGGGACGTTTCGATCGACCACTAGCAGGCCAAATATTAATACCCCCTTATCTGCATTACGCGTTGCGATGTCATGGACTTGCAGCCTTATTTTATCAGCTTCGAACTTGTGGATGAGTTAAATTTATCTTTGTAACCCTCATGAATACATGCACAAGTGCCAGTGATGTGAGGTAAACAAGCTAGAATGTCTAATAAATTCATTTTCTTTCAGCTTAACCGCACATAAGTAGCTTTAGATGACCATTCTAAAGTTCCTGACACAAACGTCCCCTTTAGTTGGATCATGCTATCAAAATTATTATTTCATAAAGTAAATGCATTCCTAACAAAGTATGAAAAATCTGTCTTTAAGAATTGTTACACTAGTATTGATTTAAGACGCTTAAGTTACAAGAAGAGCACGTAGGAGAAAATATTATTTCCTCACCGTCCAAGACCGTCCAAGCGATACGGATATTTGACCAACAGTAAAACTGTAAACATAAGTGGACATAACAACTCGTATTTGAGAAGTGCTCGTGTTGAAAGACATTCAGAGGAAGAATATCAGAGGTAATCTTTTTTAAATTACAATTTAGCGTATTCTCGTTGACTAGGAAATTAAGGAGTCATTGAAAATCTCAATTGATAAATTAAAGTGCATGGAAAATATCGAATAATTAATATGACTATTTTCGGAAGGATTTCTGCTGTGCGATATCGATCATTTCATTTCTCAAAAGCAATGACAAGGCACTATTTGTTAAACATTGGGCTCTTAACTTTTTAAAAACCCAATCAACCTATGCAACCACGTACCATGAAACAAGTGCGTGCATCTGCTCGTTGTACGTTTATGAATACAGAGCTACAAATTTACAATTTTTCTTTCTATACACTATAACCCTCTGGGCTTTAGTAAGCAACGAATTATCAAGACTTCTTAATGTAATTATAAGAATGGAATGGTAGAATTCTAAATCACTAATGCCGGTATATTTAAAGGCAAGCATATTCTTGATTTGCGCAAACGAAACAATCAGTGGTGTCAATTTCCCAAAGTACGAGCCGGCCAGCATTTTACGCGCCACATTTTTGTTAGACTTCTCAGTCCCGTGCGAGCAACTCGCGAGATGCATGTGAAGCAGTGCCGAATAATAACCTGTTTGCCAGCTGCCAAACAAGAGAGTCGTGAAAAATATGGTAAAATCTACCGATTAACTTTTCTCCATTAACAAGGTTTATTGTGAAATTGACATTGCGTAATGGTCTCGAAATTAAGAAATACTAGCCATAAATCGCCCAGAAATAACCCAAGAAAGCCTTTTCAGTTTTTTTTTGACGTGTGTTGAGTCTATTTCTAGCTTTTTTCTTGGCTTGGTAATGCCAAAAAGCGCTACAAAACTACCTCGAGGCAGCAGGAGATTAATCGAACTGTGTGCTTGATCATTAAATATTATCGTGAAACATTTAAGTGATTAAACACCTAAATTGCTTCTTTCCTTTGATCAACGAGAACGTACGTTCTTTGAAAATCTGTAGGTACAAATAAGTCGCTGAAGGAGCGATACACAACTGAATTTATATCCACAGTTTCTACCGGAGTCCCCGTGATCTTGCTTTTCCTGACAAGATCTTCCAAGGAGTTCAAGGAGAAATTTGACGGCTCAAAAACCTTTGGATTTTTCTCAAACAAACTATCACTCGACCTTGGGATTTCCTCATACTTTTCATCGCTAATTTCATCCTTCCAAAGAGCAACAGCTCAGCATAAACAATGTCCATCTCCGCTGACGATGACTTCTCTCCTTTGAGGAGGTATTTCTTCAGACGTCTTAATTTGTTTAGTTAATACGTTGAAAAGTATGAAAGCAGACTGTACATATAAATACAACTGAAAAATTTAAAAGAGTTATTTCCCAGTGAATTATGGCTAATTTTGAAATATGTCGAGACCTTTACGTACGCTCTGATGATTTAGCAATAGACCTTTTACGTAAGGAGACAAGTTTATTGTTATATTTTACAATATGTTTAGTTATAACTCTATCAAAAACTTGCACATCCCCCGTATCAACATTATCATAATCCATTTATGATA